TTTTCAAAAATAAAACGAAGAAGGGTGTGTGGTGGAGGGGATTTGAAGAGAAGTTTGCTGCCGGGGGGTTCCCGCGGGGGCGGCCGGAGCTGTCCCCGCTCAGGCTCCGCCTCCCCCGGCTTATGACACTGGAACCTCCTTAAGTTGCGTCTCGCCACAGCTGTCTGTAAGCACTGAGCCGGCTGGCGCCATCCTGCTCCTTTCAGAAAGAATGCCTTCCCTGTAAAAAAAAAAAAAAAAAAAAAAAAGAGAAAAAAAAAAAAGGAAAAAGAAAGGAAAAAAAAAAAAAAAAAAAAAAAAAAGAAGAGGGAGAGAGAGAGGAAAAAAAAACGAGGGAAAAAAAATAAGTGCGACCGAGCACAATCTGATCTGATCAAGCACTTTCAGCTTCATCCCTCCTGGGTCACATACTGCTTCTCCACCAAGGTTTGTGCGGAATTTTTTGAGCAACTTGTCGCTTTTTAAATTTTTTCTTTTTCCTCCCTCTCCCCACCCGCCTTTTCTCCTCGCTCCTTCCTTTCACCCCCACTCTCTTCACCCATCGCTTTACCCCCTTCCCTCCCTTCTCTTTTCCCCCTGTTCCCTCCTTTCTCGGTTGCATAATAATTAATGAGCAATCAAAGTGACTCTGGGCTGCGCAGCAGCGAATGGCACAAGTTCTCACCGGCTTAAGCCACTGGAGCTTCTCAGGTGCAAATGGAACAAATAAAAAAATAAACAAACAACCGCGACGAACAAAAAAAAAAAAAAAAAAAAGAAAAGCCAAAAAAACCCCCAAACCCAAGGAAAAGTAAGAGCTGGGCGGTGGGAGCTGCTGGGCTCCGCTGCGAGCCGGGAGAGAGCGAAAGAGAAAGAGGCGCTGGGAGAGGTGGGTCCAGGGCAGAGCAGGCGCTTCCCAGGGATGGCTGCCGAGGGATGGGATGGGTTTGCTCCTGCCTAAAAAGTCAGGTGCTAAAGTTCAGAACTTCTCAAGTACGTTTCTCTCCCTGCCTCTCCCTCTCTCTCTCTCTCTCTCTCTCTGCTCCTTCCCTTTCCTCTTTCTCGTTACAGGTGATCAAAGAAGAGAAACATCTGCAACAGAGCGGAAGAAACGAGAGGATCTCGCTTCGTAGAGAAATTTTTCCCCCGAGATTTTTTTTTTTGTTTTCCCTTTTTTCCTCCCTTTTTATTTTATTTCCTTTTTTTTTTTTTTTTTTTTTTTTTTTGGAATCGATCGTTTATCACCATACCCCCAACTCCCTCCACTTTAAACCAAACCTAACCTGAAACATCCCCAAACTCGCCGAGCACTTCTTATCCCCGCCCTGCATAACTCCGGCAGCGTCTCCCGCTCCGATCTCAAACCCTCCGCGCCTTGCTGAGGAGGAGGAGGAGGAGGAAGAGCAGCAAGCGCGGAAGATGGAGGTCTCCACGGACCAGCCGCGGTGGGTCAGCCACCACCACCCGGCCGTGCTCAATGGGCAGCACCCGGACTCGCATCACCCCTCGCTTGGCCATACCTACATGGACCCCACGCAGTATCCTCTGGCCGAGGAAGTGGATGTACTTTTTAATATCGACGGACAAGGCAACCCCGTCCCGCCGTATTACGGCAACTCCGTGAGAGCCACGGTGCAGCGATACCCCACGGCCCACCACGGTGAGTGAGTGCCCCACCGAGCCCCGGCTGCCCCCGGTCCTGCCCCGGTGCCGGTGGCTCCGCGCTGCCCCGAGCCCCCCGCTGCCGTCGGGCAGACCCTCTCCTGCCGCCGGGGAAGCTACGTCACGGGTGGATTTTGGGGTTGGCTTCTTGGAAATAAATAAAAATTCAGGCTTCCTTCCTTCCTTTCTTTCTTTCACTTTCTTTTTTTCTTTTTAAAAATTTTTTTCCTTTTTCTCTTCTTTCTTTCTTTCTTTCTTTCTTTCTTTCTTTCTTTCTTTCTTTCTTTCTTTCTTTCTTTCTTTCTTTCTTTCTTTCTTTCTTTCTTTCTTTCTTTCTCTCTTTCTCTCTTTCTCTCTTTCTCTCTTTCTCTCTTTCTCTCTTTCTCTCTTTCTCTCTTTCTCTCTTTCTTTCTCTCTTTTTTTCTCTTTCTCTCTCTCTTTCTCTCATTCTTTCTCTCTTTCATCCTCTCCTTTTATCTCACACCCCTCTTCCCTCTCTCTCTTCTTTCCCTCTTTCTTTCCCTCTTTCTTTCTCTCTTTCTCTCTTTCTTTCTCTCTTTCTCTCTCTCTTTCTCTCTTTCTCTTTTTCTCTTTCTCTCTCTCTTTCTCTCATTCTTTCTTTCATCCTCTCTTTTTATCTCACACCCCTCTTCCCTCTCTCCCTTCTTTCCCTCTTGCTCGCCTTCCTTCTATTTCTTTCTTTTTAATCTCCCTCCTGTCCCCCTTCTCTTTCGCTCTGGTTTCTCCCCCCTCTCTTTAATTGGGTTAACAGTTAGTGTTTTCATACTGTGTTTAGTTTTTGCACGATTAAGCTGCTCTGGGGAAGCAAAGCAAGCTGGAGAGCAGGGGTGTGAAAATGACCCCGCTGTCCTCACGCTTGGGCTATTTAATTCGCACTTGGTGAGCTTGTTAGGCTTGGTACAAAAGTTTTGCACACATACCCAGGCGGGGGTTTAAAATAAGAAAGAAACTACAAAAATATAGCCCGTGGTGTAATTAGGTATCAGACCTGGTGTGTTGTCCTGAGGGTCCTGCAGGAAGGCAGTGATCCACAGTGTGAATCTTGTTCCTGGGTCACAGCTCTCAGAAAGGAGGTGAAATACCTGGGGCCGATGGGGCCCAGGTCTACGGAGGGATGAGTACTTTGGTGCCGTCTTTTATGAAGAAGTGGAGAGATTCAGTATTTACAGCTGGAGTTTACCTGGGTGGTTTAGAAAATAATGAAAAAAAAAAAAGAAAATAAAAAAAAAATAGGAGGGAAAAGAACAGACGGTGGTTTGTGAAGCCGGACAGTGATCTCTGTCGTGGCTAAATCCCCGAGGTTTGCAGTGGAAATAACCCCAAAATCATGGAGAAAATGGGATGAGCGGAGTGGAGATGGAGCCGAGCGGGTTGAGGAGGCTGCTCCCAGCCCTCAGCAACTTGTTGAGTGTGAGCCTGCATTAGGCTCCGCTCAGTAACTGCATTGTTCTGCTATTAGTCCCTTTAAAACAATTATTTTTAAGGATCAGCAGCCTTTGTCCTTTCTTTCTTTTCTTCCCTTTTCATTTCTCTTTTTTCCCAATATATCAGCAGAAAGTGGAAATGCGGTCTTTCTGATCTAGCCTGAATATTATTTACTATGCTACTTCCTGGAGAAGATAATGAATCTTGACCCTTTCTATTCGTATAACCCACCTTCTCTTCCTTTTGAGCAGCGACTTTCAGTATTGTTCACGAGTGCCTGGTATGGTGAAAACCAGTTTGGAGCTTTTCTAGACACATAGAAGCTCCCCATGCAAACATATGTGTCCACTCTAAAACTATCTGTGGTTCTCTAAATCCGTGTTTGCATCTCTCCTGTACATTTAGCAATCTCTATACACATATCACAATGCCTACAGAGGGTAAGGATCTCTAGGTGTCAGAGACTTTCTAGGGCTTTATTATCAGACACAAACTTGCTTCCTTCCAGTTGAATAACTGTGTTTTCCATCTTACAGCCATTCGCTCAAGTTGCTGTGGATTTGGGTAGATTTAATTCTTAGGATGTATTTTTTATTATTATTTGTTTAGCAAGGGCCGAAAATAATTAAAAATACTAGGTGCAATCCCTTAGGAAATTTATAACCAAAGGGGAAAATATTTGACTGCAGAAATCTAGTGAAATTTTTTTCCCCCACAAAGTCAAGGTCTGTATTTTAAAAGACAAGTGAAGTGCCCCTTGTCACAAAAAGGATGTGGAGCGTTTCTTTTGAGGCAGTTGGTACCCTCTGCGTGTGCCATATCATCGTGAAAAGACCTTTAACATTTTTGTACAGTCTCATGGAAGAAGAAAAGACAAACTGAGTGGTTTGCAAAGTTTATCAGCCCTGTTGCAAAGGTTATTATCATGTTTATGGGCATTTTCTGGTCTTCTTCGTTTGACCAGAGAATTCCCAGGGTTTATAGCTCACGGCTCTGTTCGGGAAATCATTTTCTAGCTAAGAAAAAAAATTTTTCTACAGTCGGGACTTGGCAATTTCACGCAGGATCTTTGCTTCAAAGTCTTCGTGGGATTGCCTGGAAAACGGACAGAGTGAAGCAGAGCTGGCCAAATCCCGTGTCACAGGGCTGGCACCCTGCTTGGAGGGTCTCGACCCCAAAACCTGTTCCTCAACAGGACGGGAGCTGCCACCCCGTGCTCCTGTAGCTTTTAGAATTTAATCTTTCACGAAGAACGGGGTTTCTCATCAGATGTAATTTTCCTTGCTCCCCACGGGAAGCTGAGCGCTTTGGGAGGGACGAGGGGTGGTGGTGGGGGAAGCACGTCCCGGGACCCCCACGGGGGACTTTGCCAGGGTGGCAGAGGGATGTGACCGAGTGTCTCCGTGTTTTCTCCGAGCAGGGAGCCAGGTGTGCCGCCCCCCGCTGCTGCACGGCTCGCTGCCCTGGCTGGACGGGAGCAAGGCGCTGAGCAGCCATCACAGCGCTTCCCCCTGGAACCTCAGCCCCTTCTCCAAGACCTCCATCCATCACAGCTCACCGGGACCCCTTTCCGTCTACCCACCCGCCTCCTCTTCCACTTTATCCGCCGGCCACTCCAGCCCGCACCTTTTCACCTTCCCGCCGACCCCTCCTAAAGATGTGTCCCCGGATCCGTCCATCTCCACCCCTGGCTCCACCGGCTCCACCCGGCAGGACGAGAAGGAATGCATCAAATACCAGGTGTCCCTGGCCGATACCATGAAGCTGGAGTCCTCTCACTCTCGGAGCAGCATGGCCTCTTTAGGAGGAGCCACCTCCTCCGCTCATCACCCCATCACTACCTACCCACCGTATGTCCCAGAATATGGCTCTGGACTTTTTCCCCCCAGTAGCCTCTTAGGAGGATCGCCAACCGGGTTTGGGTGTAAATCGCGACCAAAAGCACGGTCAAGCACAGGTAGGGCTTTTGGCTTCTTCATTCCCGCTGCTCGGGAGAGGAAGCTGTGGTGGGGAAAACTGGGGGGGCAAAGGGATGGGGCTGACTCCTCGCTCCCCCCGCACGCCAAGGACATGTGCTCGAGCATCCGTGTGATGAGCAGCAGGCGTTGAAGCCCTCGTGGGGGATGCGCACGACACTTCACCTTCCTTACAGGTTGATCTGCTAGGTTTATAACCAAATTCCCCCTTGTCCAACCCTGACTGGGGATAGAAACAGGCCCAGGAACTCAAACCACCCACCCGGTGCCGCGGGGCTCCAGACCCAGGGGCGACCCGGCCCCTCCAGTGCCCACGGTGCGCTCAGCTGCGGCGCCCGGGGAGGAAGCGAAACCGAGGGAACCGCAGCATTAGTGATCTCTCTGTATTTTAATAATGGTGCTAAATCCCGGCCAACTTCCCCCGCCCGCCCTCCGCCTCGCTCTTCCCAGGGCCTCTTCCCATGCGGCTCCCGGGGATGCGGAGAGGGTTTTCCCCGGGGCGCTGCGGAGAGTTCGCCCACGCAGCCCCCATCCCCAGCCAGCTCCGTGCCAGGGAGTTTGGATCACCCACAAGGAGAGTCCCCAAAATTGTCCCCCTGGCCGGGGGGAGCTGCAGGGCCCCAGCTCTGTGCGCACCCCGCTGAATGGGGAGCGAGGGGCTGCGCGGCTCCGGCTC